CTAAGCAGAACTACAATTAGAAGTCACCAAAATGAAAAATAAAGTCATGGGTTAGGCAGTGGATTTGGTCCTGTCTGGAGAGGCGAGTAGCCAGCTGTGCAGAGAAGACAGTGGTAAGGAGAGAAAGGACACCCCCACACAGGACAGGGACAGGGCCAACATTTATTAGACCTGGCAACAGACACAAACGTTAGATTCATGTTATAGTGAAAATGTAGAATTTGAGACGAGATGGATTTTAAAAGCCACAGGGAGGGGAAGCAGATGGACAAGTAGACCAGGCTACAGCCGCTTTCTTTGCCAAAAGACAGAAAGCCAGCCCTAGCCAGTTTGGCTCAGTGTATAGAGCGTCGGCCTGCGGACTCAAGGGTCCCGGGTTCGATTCCAGTCAAGAGCACATGCCCGGGTTGCAAGCTCTGTCCCCAGTAGGGGGCGTGCAGGAGGCAGCCAATCAATGATTCCCCCTCATCATTGATGTTTCTATCTCTCTTCCTCTCCCTTCCTCTCTGAAATCAATAAATATATATTAAAAATTAAAAAAAAGACAGAAAGCCATTTCCCACCTAGAATTCTCTACCTGCAAACTGTCATCCACAAGACAGGTGACACTGGCTAGGCAGTGGACTGGACACTCAGTGGTCTTTTTTCCCTTTGCAAACCCCACTCAAGTGCTAGCAAAAGAGCTTACACATGTGCACTAGACCAGAAGAGCCCAGCAGACAGGTGATCACCTATTCTGGGAGGAGGAGAGCCATCAGGCAGACCAGAACGACCAGAACTGATTGGGGAGTGCCTGTCAGGAGGTGGGGAGACAGGGTGGTGGAAAGAGGGAGTGAGGAGGCCAGTGGAATAGGAATAGAGTGAGCACTCAGAGCCCCTGGGTCTACCATCTGAAAGGCTGAGTCAGAGCTACTTGCTCAAGAAGGGAGTGTAAGCCACAGGCCAGGGCTGGAGGACCCTTGGGCCCCAAAAATCAGTAGCCCATGTATGTCTATGCATCCCATCCTCCTGGCCTCGCACCCGGTCTTCCCGGAGATAGGGACATTCCCTGTCAGCACTCCATGTGTCTCCAGGAAGCAGGAGGAACTGGTACAGCAGGTTCGCAAACGGCTGGAAGAGGCGCTGATGGCTGACATGCTGGCCCATGTGGAGGAGCTGGCCCGGGATGGTGAGGCGCCGTTGGACAAGCCAGGTGCGGAAGAGGAGGTAGAAGATGAAGAGGATGAGGAGGAGGAGCCTGACCAAGACCAGGAAATGGAGCACATGTAGAGCAGGTGTAGGTGGACCCCAGGCTACAGCATGTGCTTGGGTAGTGACCACAGGGGGAAGAGACAATCCAAGAGTTCTTGGACCTGTTCCACGCTGGGCATTGGCTGTGCTCGGAGAGCACCTGTCTCCCTGGAGGAGCCCAGGGTGGCCTGGCCCTCCCTGTCCTTCCAGAGGCCCTGCCCGAGCCATGCCTGTGTGGGGCACTTACAGACTCAGCCCTTGCCCTCATGGGACCAGGCTTGGGGGGAAGGTGGCCCTCCTCCCTTCCCAGGCATGTCCACTCCCCCGGCCACTAGGACACCTAGGGTCATGGCTGGAGGATGGTCCCCGGCCCTGCAAACCCCCACGTTTGCTCTTCTTTGAAGGGCCAGACTTCTGAAAGTGCTGGTTGCTCCTGGACCCTGCCTGCAGGGGTATGGCTCCTGGATGCAACTGGGCCTCTGGACTCACTGTCACCATCCTGAGCTCAGAAAAGGGTTTTTGAAACAGGCTTACCTCCCGATCTTGAGTGTGAGGGACAATCCTCTGGGCCAGACTGTCAGCCCTCCCAGAAAGGGTTGCAGGGTGGTTCCCCGAGTGACCATCCAGCTGAGCAAAGCCGTGACACTCGAGTGTCTGAAAGAAAGCGGCACAGCCCAGAGGTTTTCCTTCAATAAATCGGTGGTACAAACGAGGCTGGACGTCCTGTAACTTCTTTACCTTTTGTGTTTGCTGGACGAGGATGTGAAATCTGGACTTCATCTGAAAACCTGACTGTCTGTGGCCTGGTGGGTCCTGCCTAGGGGTCAGCCACCAGCATCTGAGGAGGACTGCTCATAGCCAGGAGCACAGTGGGGCTGACCTATGTGCCTCAGTTTTTCCTTGTATAACAGGTACAGTTAATACCCAACACTCTGGGCTGTGAGCTGTCATGTGGCCTGGCTGGAGCTGCCACGGGCCCAGGCTCCTGTGTGTTCCTACCTAGAGGTGTGTTTCATGGCCAAGCACTTCTAAGTGCCACACCCAGAATAGTGGTCCCCGAGAAGCACTGGGGCGAAGATCATCAGAATCTTGTTACTTCACTCATCCCCTCCAGCCCTAGTGCCTTGGGATTGATCCTTGGTTGGGTGTGAAGGGAGGCAATATTGGTTTCTCTCTGCCCTAACCAACAGCTTGTGTCGGCAAGGATCCTAATTGCTGAGTCATTTGGCCAGACACCCGGGGCAGTGTAGGTATGGGCATGTAGGTCAGGGGTGCGGGGTGACATGGGACCCCTCAGAGCTGTGAGTGGTTGCTGCCATCTTGATCTTCCGAGGATGCTGGTGCAGTCAAACACCACATCCTTCCAAGTCAAGTTGAAAAAAACCAAGAAGGCTGCCCTGTACAGGTCCCAGTGCCTGTTGGGAGGGCCTGAGGTCCCTTGGCCATGAGTCCTCTGCCCCTCAGGTCTGAGTAGAGGGGCTGCAGGGAGGTTACTGTGGGTGACAGACGACAGAATAAAGCCATCTTGGGCGAGCATGGTTGGAGCCTGGGTTCAATCTGAAGAATGGTGTTTGTTTCTGAGGAATACGGGCCTCGCCTGGGCCCGCCAGGCCTGCATCCTGTGGATCATCAATTCTGGGCTGGGTGATAACGGAATCAGGAGGGGCCGGCCTGTCCCAGAGGATGGCAGATTTCCCCACAGACTCCAAGGTGGAAGCCATAAAGCCAGATGTGGAGGCTTCCAGAAGATTTGGGACTCCCGCACCTACTGGTTGAAGTCCCCAAGACTCCCTTGGGGCACCTGGAGCTCCCAGTGTGGGTATGTTGGGGGGGGGGGGGGGTTGTTTTCAGGGGTGGGCACACAGGGAACTGGGTGAGTCTGGCCTTGGAGACCTGAATTGGACCTTCTGCCCGTCAGCTCACAAGGCTGGTGCAAGAGCTGGGAGAACCCTGATCCACCTGCCTGCCCCCCAGGTCAGGCTTAGTGGCCTGGACCCCCTCCTCACCCCCACATGGAGTCTCTTTTTGTCTCCCCTGCCCCCTCCCCACTCTGAGTGTCCCCTCCGAATGCATTGTCTACTCTGCAGACAGCCCTGCCCACCCACCGGAACTGGTTCCAGCTTCCAGAGGGAAAACTTGAGGCTCAAGTTAGCAACTTGCCTAAGGGCACCGTTCGGAAGAACTTGGGTCTTCATGACTCCAACACGGTGTTTGTGCCCAGCCTCTGGCCACTGAGAGGCCCTGAGCAGCCACTGACCTCAAAAAGGACAAGAGCCTGGGTCCCTGGAAGGACTCAGTGGTTCTGTGTGAGAATGGGATGCCCCAGTCCCATCATAGAGCCCTTCCTGACGCTTTCCAAGCTTGAGGGTCTCACCTGAATTCTTTTTTCTCCCCAGCGAGACTCCGCCAGGGTTTCTAAGCCAACGGTTTAGGGGCATCTGCATCAGGGACCTGAGCCACCCCCATGTCTCTACCATAATATGCCTGGCTTCTTCCAGCCCAAGGCAGGCAGAGGAGCTCTCTGAACCACCCTATACCCACACCCGGCTCAGCCTGCCTGGGATGCCTCCGCACTTTGAGCCTCCTGTGGCTGCTGGAACAAAGCACCATAAACTTTGGTGGCTTAATTCACACATACTCATCCTGGGGTCAGGAGTCTGACTTGGGCTTCATGGGGCTAAACCCAAGTGTGCAGGGCTGGTCCTTCCAAGGCACTAATGGAGGATCGTTTCCTGCCTTGTCCAGCTTCTAGAGGCGTTACATCTCTGGCCTGTAGCCCCTTCATTTTAACAGCCAGTAACTCAGCATCTTCCATCTTTGACTCTGACCCACCTGCCTCCCTCTTCTGAGGGTGTGATGACACTGGGTTCCCCGAGGAATCTAAGATCACCCCTATCTCAGGGGCCTTCACTTAATCCCACCTGCAAAGAGGATGAATGTCTTTGGAGGCCACTTGCCCACCACAGAAGACACACCCCCACTCAACCTCCCTCATCTCTACCCCACCTTGGAACCTGGACACCATTCATAGCCTCTGAGTCCGAGGGAACAGTTTGAGCCCTGGGATTAGATCTCTAACTTCCTCGGATCACTCATTCAACATGCATTAATAGCAGGGCCAGCTCAGATCTGGTACCAGCCAGAGGAACTTGGGCTGGATGTGGCCTGGGGGTGAGGGTGGGGAAGGGTCAGGCACAAGGACCAAGGCAGGGGAGTGAGGGGTTTTGTTTTTTTTTCAATCCTCACCCAAGGATATGTTTATTGATTTGAGAGAGAGAGAGAAACCAACATTGCCTCCCTTCACACCCCAACCAAGGATCAAATCCAAAATCCTGGTATGTGCCCTGACAACCTGTGACCCTTCGGTGCACTGGATGGTGCTCCAACTGAGCCACATTGGCCAGCGGGGAGTGAGGGCTTTAACTGGGGGAGGGGTACCTGCCAGGGAGGCAGGTGGAGAGAAGTGACTGGAGGTGGACGATTCAGCTGAGGAGCTACATGGTGGAGGGCAGACCTAAAATCGGTGAGGATGGCGGTGGACACTAGGGTAGGGGCCAGTGCATGGCAAAAGGGATCAGTTCGCCCCCTTTCCCACCTGAAAAGCTCATGCAATTGTCCTGAAGTTCCACAGCCAACCAGGGACTTAGGAGGGGTCCCCGTTTAGACTTGGGCGGGCGACTCCACGGGGTCCACTCAGCCCCCTGCCCATTTATCATGAGAAACCGCACGGGAAAACCGGAGGGCTCCTTCAGCTCCAAAGGAAAAAGAATGAAGGAAGGGCCGCGGGGACAGGATAGCTTTGGAACTGAGCACGCTGGGCTCCTCTGGGAGCCCACAGGACAGGGCGCCCGGCACCCAGAAGAGGGAGGCTCTTCACCTCCGAGGGCTCTGGCCAGTGGAAACCAGCCCAAACCGGGAAGCACCGCCCACGTGGCGCAATCTCGGGCTCCAGCGCACTCCGTCTGGGGGATGTGGGTGCCCTTGACCTCCCCAGGGGCCCACGGGGACCGGAGTCCGAAGGCAGGCCAGGTCTCAAGGAGTCTCGGGGGTAGAGACCCCGGCCCTGGGGCGGGCACAGGGGTGCAGTGCCTTGGGGCACAGAGAGTCCTCTAGCAAAGGAAGGCGGGCTCTCCGGCAACAGGGCGCCCGCGGGCACCTACCTTCGGCAGCGCCCGCACCTGCAAGGCGCGCAGGACCCGCCCGAGCGCCCCAGGCAAAGGTTGGCCGGCGCCCATGTGAACGGCACCCGCCCCGCCCCGCGCGTGTGCTCTGCCCGGAGCCCCAT